GCCCCATCCCTGGAGGTGTTCAAGGCCAGGTTGGACGGGGCTTGGAGCAACCTGGGCTGGTGGGAGGTGTCCCTGCCCAGGGCAGGGGGTGGGACTGGATGATCTTCAAGGTCCCTTCCAACCCAAACCCTTCTGTGATTCTATGATTCTGTGTGCTTAGTGACAGGTTTCAGGCTGATGAATAACCAAGTGGATTCAAACAGCAAAGTCCCCAGATAAATGGGGCAAGAGGAATGTGACAATTTTTGTATAGTGTTGGCAGTACACTGCTTTTAACGCTTCAAATAAATCTTTTCAGTGTAGCCTTGAACATGGTGTAATCAACCAGATCCACCACTCTGTCCCTCCCTGGAGATTCAGTGAAGCTGGAGAGAGGGAGGCGTAAATCACAGGAGAGCAAGAGGAGGCTCCACGTTCACCTGGTCCTCAGGTCTGGAGAAACCTTTCAGATGAATTCCCTGATGCCAAACCTGGGCTGTATGCTGGAGGAATTCAGATTTGGTGGCAGTGTGCTTTCCCGTGGATAGCTATCCGGGCTGGAAGGTGTCTCTGAGGTGGGCTGAACGGTCAATGGCCCAGAATTATGTGCAGATGCCCTTGTGGCAGTGCTCTCCTGTCTTCTGGAAGGTTATCAGCAGTCACATGGCTTTATTTCTTCCCGTTTTTTTTAAGACTTGTCTCCTACCCAATAATCTTTTCAGTTGAAGGAGTAAAATGGTTGGTTCTCAGCGTAGTGCTTTTCTACACGTAGGGGATTATTTAGTAATTGTGACAGCTTCGCAGGGTTTGGTCCCGGCCAGTACTCTCAGCAGATGCATTGTGTTGTCTTCCTGAATCCAATTTGTAACAATAATAATGTTTTTCTCTTACTGTGTTTCTGGAACCAATTTGACTACTTTCCCTTCCCTTCTCTTTCTTCCGGGATGTCCCAGAGAGCGCTCTGCCATGCTCGCTGCCAGGTGTCTTCTCTTCGCCTGCTGGTGCTGCCCGGATTCCCATGGTTTGGGAGTAGATTTGTGCCAGATTACTTTAATGTAGAGACTGAAAAGTCATGTATGAGGTAGACCGGTGAGAATCTTGGGCGGCTTTTTCACATGAGACTCTCATGCTGGAAACCAAAAGCCCAAATGTAAAATTCCCTAAGCCGCGTGATTCGTTCGATTCGTTGCCTCTGTATCTTCAATTTCAAAGCCTTTGGGAAGATCATTTGTACAAACATAAAAGTTCTCTTTAACTAAAATCAACCAATGTGTTTTTTCAATGAGCTAGAGCTCGTAAGAAAGATTGAAACATTAACTGTGTAAAGAAGGCAATTAGTGTTTGTACCATATACTGAAAATTAGCTCGAGGCATACTGGAAAAATACATGTTCTACATGTATATATTTTTCATCCAATTCCATAGTTGATAATAGATCTGGACATAGATACTTCTAAAGGCTACCAAATTAATTCAAACTGTGCAAGAGGTTGTGATTGTCTATAAGAAGTTTTTTTAAACCATAACGTGGTTGGTCATACCCTGTATATGTAATCACTCAAAGGAAAAGCCTTTTCTGCTGCTGTAGTATGTCAAGGAAGCTTGTCTGCATGTAAACAGCAAACTGAGCCCTCTCTCCTGGTACAGAGCTTTAATTTTTGTAGCTGAAAAGTTGAACATTTCTAAAAATGTACTAATTACGTCATTCTGATAAAAGGAGATACTCCTCTCACTTTGTCACGGAGTGCTACTTTCCATAGGTTTTAAAGCTGTCACAGGAGTAGGAAAAAAGCTGTCATGGTCATAGCAATCAGTGGAAAACTTTTATTTTAATAACTGTTGGGGGGTCCCATTACAGGGAGCAGCTGCCACGTTATCTGTCTTAAAGGCTGCGCATCCATTATCATGAGTGTTTTGCCCACGGTTCGATAGGAATTGAGGTCAAGAGAGGGACCGTTTCCCTGAAGGGGGAGAAACGGGAATTGATGCAACCGTGGATAGAGTGCCAGTTATGAACTTGGGAGCATTTTCTAAAAATCTGAGTATGCCCATAGTCTATTAAGAGAAATACTATTTTTTTTTACCATTCCCATTTAGCGTTTGGTTCTCACAGGGCAGAGTGCAAACCAAAAGAAACCGTTCGTGAGGCTCTGATGCTAAATTGGGCACAATCGTACTTTCTGTGGTTGATTGTGTTAAAGTATTTGTTGTTTATATGAATTATTATGGCGTATATAGAGTGAAACTTTTCGGGAAGACTAGCTGAAACTTTTGTTTGTTTCTACAAGAGAATTCCCTGGCGTGAAAGTCAACGTGGGATCTGAGATGCGGGAGTAGAATGACTTGCCTTAACATGTAGAAGAGAGCATATGGTTTTGGTAATAGACTAATAAGAGCAATTAACCTTATGGTGCACTCATTTGTTGGTCTCAGTTGTTTATAAACTAGGTAGTAAAGATATTTTAACATCGTATAGCTTTATAGGAGATTCGTGAAATCAGGCTGTATTTTTTCAAGTTCATGCCTAGCAGTACTCAGGTGTAGCGTAAGTGACAGAAACGTAAAATTAGCAGAGAATAAAGTATTCAGGGTACGACGCGGTGCGTCTAACCAATGAATATAATCACAAATGTTTAAATACATAGTGTAGTTTAAAGAAATAAAAACACGTGCTAAAGGTTTTCATTAGAAGAGGGACTGTTTTCACAGGATGCGGTCACAGATCTGTCATTCGGCTTGTTCTTCTCGCCTTGCAAAGTTTATAATGTAAACTGTTTCCAGGCTTATTTAACGTAAAAAAGAATTTTAAGCTCACCTCCTTCTCTGCACCGTGCAAATAGTCAGCGTTTCGTATAACATCTTCCATGTAATTGTGCAGAAGGATGAACCTCATAAAAGAACGGGTTTCTTTCAACGGCAAGCACCATCTTTGTTGCCTTTTTTTTTGGAAGGACTTCTAGAAGTTACGTCACTTCCTGCAGAAGTTCCAGTTTCTCAGTTAGGAGCGCCTGCGTTTGCCTGGCAAACAGAGAAATTGGGTACCGACGAGCAAGTAGCTTGCCCCACAAGCTGCAACCCCAAGAAAAGCCCTTTTTCTGCCATTCTCTGGGGGCTCCTCGCCTTACACGTGGTGTAATGTTCACAGTCGCCGTTGCCCAGTTGGGCACCTTGCTGCGAAGGCAAGTGACACCGAGGGCTGAATGACCTTTATCTTGCGAGTACTTTGGTTTCGAGGTTGGTGGTGATGGGAGAAGGATGGTTTCCCCAGAATAATATTTTTTTTATTTGATTCTGTAACTTTTGGCAGTCAGCTTTGGGGCTCCTGCTTTTGTGCAATATTTGTTTTGCAAACTTTTGCCTTTTTATTGACAGTATCCCAGAAAAGGCCTCTAAATTAGTTCATTTGTGGGTATAATTTCAGCATGTAATATACGATATATTGTGGTTATTAGTGTTTTGTCTGCCCTTCCTGGTTTACTGTTATTTGTCTGATTTTTACCTTACAGGTTGGTTACAGACGTTTTTATTGAGTTTAGTTAGTGATAACCCTAACGAGTTTTTGCTACTTTGTCTTTATCCTGAATTTGAAAGCCAAGACAATGATTTTTTTTCTTTTGGGTTTTCTGCAGAGACTTCCATGAAACTCTTCTGTACAAATTTGTGGTCTCGTTTTTTTTCTCTTTCATTAAATTGACTGAACAATGTATTTGCTGGTGCAGCATTCACCGAATATGAGGACTCTTTTGCTTTATTAGACTTGACAGTGTTTAAACAATACTAATTCTCATACCCAGCTGGCTTTTCAATTGATTTCTGTGCTCTCTGTTGCTGCGTAAAACAAGCCGGAACATTAAAGACATCTTGTCTGCTACCCTCTGGAGACTTGTTTTTCTTTAGAGAAAAATCAAATAAGTGTAAAATGCTCTGGGTTTTCTCCTCATGTATTTTCTTCTGGATCTTTAAATGATATTTCAGTGTACTGACAAGTTTTGTACATGTTAAGATGCTAATTTTCAAGCGCATTATTTAAAGAGCAGTCTTAATTTTATAGTGAGATTTGCTAGTTTGCTCATTTGTTTATAGAAATAAATGTCTGCTTCTTCATCTAAAACTGAATATACCAGCTTTAAAATCATGTTCAAGGTGTAGATAAATGTGCCATTGTAACCCAGCCTAAAATTTTGCATATTTAAAAATGTGTTCGCTAAACAGTCAGAGAACATTTGCAGATGTTAATCATTTGTTCTACCCGCTCACTTTTAACAGTATTGAAGCAGCCTGAAGTTTGGAGCTGAATATTGGAATCTGAATTCCTGGGGAGAGGGAGACATAAAAAGCATTTTTCTATCCTGTAAACGTCAAGATTTAAGTCACACCTTTAGGCAAATCCAAGCCTTAAAACACATGGTCCCGAACGATGAGTTTTCTCTGCTCTGGACAGGCAGGAGTTGCCCCGGGATGGGCTTCGGCCGTTGCGGAGGTGACCGTTCTGGAACCAGTCGCTCCTTCCAGTCCTCCAGAGGCTGTTTAATTTTATAGGAATTTCGGTTTGTTGTGACATACCAACTTTCTGAAACCCAACCGTGATTCCTCCTCCGCTCCACCTCCCCAAACACGCAGGCAGCCCTGCAGCTGGGGGATTTGGGGTTTGGGATTTGGGGCGCTCGGATGTCGTGGCTCAAATAAGGGCAATGACCTCTCGTAAAGGAGTGGTCAAAGCTGAGGAATGGGATTTGTTTTTTAACTTCAAGGGATCAGTGCTTTCTGATGAAAATTTGTAACGTTCTTTTCTTACATAATGTCTTCCTATACTCTTTTTGCACTTTTTGTGCCACGCCAGGTCGCCGTCCCTCGTGTATGAAGTGTGTGCTGGTGTCCCGTTCACCCAGCGTTGTGGGACTCCGTGTCGGGGGTGCAAAGTCACGTGGAGTCAGTGTAGCAAATATTTGATGAATAATGAGTGTTTTGAACACACTGTATGTCATTTCAGCATTTTTTTTTCCCTTTTAAATTTCCTACAGCTGGTCTGAAAACCCGGGGGAATGGAAGTTTCAAAAGACAAGACAAACCTGGCTTCTCCTGCACATGTATGATAAAGAGAAGGTTTGTATGAACGCCGCTTTTTCTCAGAACAAACACGATACAAAGTTTTATACATGCGTTGCAGCTATTCTTTATTCACCACAATTTGCTAGTAGTAGCCATGCACTTTTCTAATCATTGTTTAATAATTTATAAATCCACTACTTTGTTTTTAACCAAAATGCTGAATTGCTTGGAATTAATCTTTTTATTTTGTCGATGATCATTCTCCTGTGTATGCTAGATTTTTATGCTTGACATATATCAAGCATAAATAGAGCAGATTCATGTTTTATATGAATCTGGAGATTGCTGAGAATTTGAGTCATAGCCTTAATCTGAATATCTGAATGCGGAACCCAATAGTGTAAACCGGGATTCTCATATCGCTTCAGCGCTCTCTGGCTCCGTATGAGATGTACGGCCATATTGCTAAGATGTTAAAATAGCTTTCTCATTAAAATATAAGTGAATCCTGATGTTGATTGTAAAAAGCATAAAGCGTAACCAGAAGCTAACCTTCCATCCTTACCGAAATCCAGTCATTCCAGAACTTAAAAAAAAACAACCCAACACAGATTGAATTTCCAATAAGCGTCTGCCCATGGTGGTACCGAGCGGGGGTTTGAGGGCATTCCGTGCGTTGTGCAAGAGAACAAACATCTGGCCGTTTGCACAGCGCCTTGCTTATTGATTCATTTAGTTGACATTCAGTTAGTTTTTGCTGATACTGTGTGTGCACTGAAATGTTTGAGCATACCAATCTTCCTGACCCAAATTACTCAGCAGCTCTTAAGCCAATCACCTGACATAGGGTGTTACCTTTTAACGATTAAAAGTGCTTTTAGAGAACCAGGTAACTAAAAGCAGAGTTTCCTGAAGGCAAAAACGTTCACACAGTGTAATAATTTAGGAGGATTAGTTGCAGAATGCAAATTTGATTGTAGGTATCTGGGTTGTTTGCACTGTCTTCTATTTTTAAGTTTCTCCTTTAAAAGTCTTTATCAACCTTTCAAAATCAATGTCTGCTCTTTAGAGCTACCTAGAAATCGTTTTACAGGCAGAACGATGTTTTTACTCTTTTACCTGTTTACTTTGGGGTTTGTGTGGAAATACACTGGGAAATAATTAACTGTAAGTAGCATTTGTTTTATGTATCAAAATACAGCTTAACTCCTTATTTCTCAGTGCTGAAATAAGACTTCCTTTCTCTTTTTTTTTTTTAAAGTCTGATGAAAGTGCTGTGATTTATCTAAATTCACACATTTTGTAGTTTAATCATCAGAGATGCATTGAATATGAGCTTTAGATAATGATTAACATCTGCATCTAGATTCAGTAGAGTCAGGAGGACTGCTCAAGTGCTTATAATTAAGCACATGATGAAGTCTCTTTCTTCATCAGGACTGTAGGCAGGGCAGAGCAGCTTCTTTTGAATATTTTTTTTTTATAGCCAAATCCGACTTCCTGCCCATTACAGAATCAGATCTGTTGGATATCCAAGCATGACTAAAATACAAAAGGGGACATGAGTTTCTTTCCTGCCTAAGCCGCATCTTTGATCTCATGGTGTCACTTGGATGCCTACTGAAAAGCCATGCAAAGGAGCGGATTGAGTTTCCTGTACCGATAAGCCTCTTTCTGCAAGAAATAAGTTGAGGTTTTAAAGTCCTTTACAACACGAGGGTGTTTTAAGTCCCTTTAAGATCCATCTGGTGGTTGGCTGAGAGCTCCCGAGCCAAGGCTGTATACCTACGGTGCACATACGTCTCCAGGATCCCGTATAAAATAAACACTACATCATTTGTTGATCTTTGTCATCTGGCACGGCATTTTTGGAAAGTGAGTGTATCAGCTGTCTCCAGCTTCTGGACTGCAGAGCCCCGGAGGGGTTCCTGACGCTCCCGCAGGAGTAGCTGAGAAAAGGCAGCGCGGCGGCGGCGGCGGCAGAGCGCTCTGTTGGCTTTGCAAAATACGTGTGCATCGGCAAGTCTAAAAAGCCCGAGCACTCTGCATTCCCCCTCTTTTCCTGACGCCGGTAATTATTTCACCTTGGGCTATTTCCCTAGTAGTCGGCCCCAGCGCACGTTAGGCAGTGAGAAGAGCGGCAAGGTCAGCGTGTGAGGGAGAAAAAGAAACAAGGAAAAGGTCAAAACAGTTTAACGAAAGAATAATAATAAAATAATAATAAAATCCCGCGAGCATCACTTCCACTTGCCAGAGCCGTGGTGGGAGATCTTCATATCCAATTTCAAGCCGGCCCAAAAGCTGATCTTAGAAGAAGGATTGTGTTCCTTCTTGTAAAACCTCGCCAAGAGCCCCTGAAATTTCAGCTCTTGTACTGCTTTGAAGAATTAAAATTTGGATTTCGTTAGCTTTTTGCTGGCGCTTTCTGTGTTCCAGTCGTTGCTATGACTATTGTGTGTGTCAGTTAGGGGGAAATAGGATGTTATCGTGCCTCCGTGGTACTGTCGCGTAAGGTCTCGCTGAAATAAACCGAAGAGCTGTGTTAAAGAAAAAAAATCAGACTTTTCGAACACTTGAGCGCTTATCCTTAGGGCCAAATGCTAAATGTTTTCAAGGCTTCAGGCAGCCACACGTCTGTCTGCACACTTTGTATTTCTAAATTTAGAGGAGGCTTTTAATTGCCCCTTCAAGCACTTTGCTTAAAGGATATAATAATAACTGTAATTCCACAGAGTGAGGTATGACTATGCCATGAGGTCTGAGAACAAGAGGTGTAAATTATGTAGATGATTTGGCCAAGCTTTGAAACAGAGAAATGTTGCTGAGCTTTAAAAACCCGATACTGAGCATCTGCGTTAAAGGAGCACTATCATGCTGAAATTATTTGTCTCTGAATGTTTTTGGCTGTTACTAGTACCAGTTTACTGTGAGGAAAAAGGTTTCCAAAATATGGACAGTTTTCCCTATGTTTAAATGTGTTTGATTTGTATATTGTAGCAACACTTCATATCTCATCCATTTCGGTGTTAGTCACTGTAAAATTAATATTTTTTTTGTATCTGTATTGTTTCTTTAACGCATGAGCGTTTATGTGAAGAATTAGAAGGTTTTCCGTAGCGCATAAGTGATGAGGCTGAACGCAGACGTTAGTTTTGATTTATTACTTTGTAATATCCCTGATTGATGAAGGCGGTGTTGGAATAGTCTTTCTTCCTCTTCTCTTGGAGTGATAGAAGTTTTAGTGATCAAAGTTACACTGCCAAATGTCGATGGAGAAATAAGTTGTAAATTAAGTATCTGTTGAAGCTCTGTCTTCTCTGAAATGTTGATACTTTGCAGAATTGAAACAGCCCTCGAATAATTAGTCTCCAGTCCTTTAAATACTTACGTATGTGTTTAACTTGACTCATGTCGAGCATGCCTTTTAAAGTTATATGTGTAAAGTTAAACATGGAGAAAAATATTTGCAGGATTAGGTCATTCTAACATCTCCTGATTCACAGCAAAAATATCCTCTTACTGCCTGAAACCTGTTCCACAGATACACAACATAAAGTTGAGATGCGTCAACGTAGAGCTGTTCACCTAACACTTTTGGAAACGGGTTGGTTTGAAACACTGAATAAATCATTCAGAAGTCTTTGCTAGGTTATTGCCAAGATTATTTGACGTAATGATCATTTAAATCATATGCCGTACCAGATAAGCTACAATTTAACCTGTGACTAGTTAATTAGAAAGGGAGTGGAATGGGGGTAACGCAACTGTAGATGACTAAACTGCTTTTAATGCTCGAGATGTTGGTAGAGCCTATCAGTTTTAGGCAGCGTGATTTAAAAATTATTTCCATATGTCTGAATTCAATTTGTCTTTCAAATTAAATTCTATGCCTTTGTATAAGCATTCTGTCAAAGTGCTTGATGGTGGGTGGTATCTCATCTTAGCAAACAAATCATTTTGGGTGGGGGGCGAGGGTAATTCCGGCAAAATCCATTCCTCAGACATGTGCACGCAATTCTTCCTGAATTTACTAAGGTTTGCATACATTTTTTCCAAGAGAAAAATTTGGCTAGTGGGTTTTTTTTAATCCCAGCCACCCTCACAGCCTTGAGCTCACTGTCAGGGAGCGTTTGTGTTTGCTGAGCAGCATTTGCACATCTGCTTAGAATTTCCTCTCGGATGCTTTGCCCGTCTGAGCACATGACAGTCCTCCGCCGCGGTCCATCCATCCCTCCCGGCAGCGTCAACCTCGGCGAGATGCTTTTCCACGGGGAGGTGGGCGTTGGCGAAGGCAAGAGCCCAAGCGCTTCTCCTCATTATCTTTCAGGTGATGCTTTGACATGATTGTGAATGAGAGAGAAGGAAATAAAGCAGGGGTTTTTTTTGTTTGTTTGTTTTTCTTCCATGTTTTTTTTTCTTTTAAAGGTTCCCGACAAGTATTTCACCATTTTACTGGATTATCTGCAAGGGCTTCAAGGCGGGGCGCGAGACATAACTGTGCAGAAAGCAGAAGCTTTTATGAAGGAATTGGATGGTTCTGATGCAGAAGACCCAAACCTGCTGGAGAAGTGCGAGCGCATACGACAAGTCCTGCAGCTGCTGTCCTGAGAGTATTTTGGTGTCGGAATGGTTGTCTGGTGGAGAGAAGGATGGGCTGTCGGATACAGAGACTGTAAATGAGTTGTAAAGACGTATTTTCTAATAGGAATCCTCATACTAAATTTTCAGATTTTGTACTCATCATTTCCTCCAATTGCAAATATTTACCGTGTTTTGAGGTGATGAAATAAGCGTAACGTATTTGGTCCAGAGACATGCTATTAAAAGTAATGTTATTGTGTACCATTAGAAAAATAAACCCCTCTTTCCTGTTCTTTCTTCTCCACCTCCCCCTGTTAATTACTGTTAAATAAGAGGAGCTTTGCAGTTCTTAATAAGAAGAGCAAAGGAACCAGCAGAAAGCCCGGAGTCTTTTTTACAATGGCAGCTTTTCAAACGAGCGCCCAGCCCAGCGCTTGCTCGGCCGGCTGGCAGGGATCCCTCCCCGCGCTAGGAGCGTGTCGCTGGGATTGGGGAATGGCGGCGCTCGGTCTGTCGAACACGGGCTGCGCGACGCAGCTGCTTGTTAGCGCTTCACACGCTGACACCATCAGCTTTGTGAGTTTGCCTTTTGTATTTTCAAGTCTTCAAATGCGTTATGGCGGTTGTTTAGATGTTCAGATATTCCGGATGGAAACGGATCAAATCCTTTGACTATAGGTAGTGAAATCATCTGGTGGCACCTAAACCTCCCCTACGGCGAGAAGTGCTGCGCCGCAGCCTTCCCTCTCTATCCAGCCTGCCAATATTGCGTTTTCATCTTTCTCTTGGAATTGGCGTCCAAAAGAGTTCATTCGCATTCATTCGCTTTGACGTGGGACATTTGTCTCCTGTGAACGTGCTGAAAATGAGGCTTTCAAGTGAAAACCAAGGACATTAATTACTCAAAAGTTGGGTGATTGGCTTATTTAGTAACGCTTGTATTCCGTCAGCCTTCTTGACCTGGTTCTTTAATGTTTCTGCAAACACGGTTCATACTTTATTAGTAACAACTATACGAAATGTGCAGTGTTTTAGAAGAGTGGCTGTCTTTGGGAGTTACGGCATTAATTTGGAGGGGTGAAGGAGGGGAGGATGTATGGATGTGCACGCCTCGTTTTTCAATAAGAAGTGTTTGAGGGGATTTGACAGCCTTCCCAGGCGTGGATTACTACAAATCTTTAAAAATATGAAATATATTGCTAGTAACAAATAACTTACGCTTTCTGACTTTTTGAAGATGATGTTTTCAGCCAAAAAAAAAAAGATGAGAGACCAGCATGCCCCGCTGTAGCACAGGAACTGTGATGGAGTTTAACACAAGGGCGGGCGGAATTCTTCGGTGGCGGTGGCCGGGCTCCCCGCTGAGCTGCCGGTGGTTCGTCAGCGGCTCCGGGGCTGTTCCCGAGCCATGGGGCGACCATGGGGGGCTGCGGGGATGCACGCGGTGTCGAAGCCTTCCTGAGGCCCAAAGCTGTATAAAACTGAGCTTCCAGTGCACACGTTGGTGAAAGGGGTCTGTAAGAAGAAGAAGCGATACTGGTGTGAAGTGAACTACAGGACGATCATTGGATCTTATGTTTCATGTCTGAGAATATGCAGCTGAGATAAACCACGCTCACGCCAAACAGAAGCCGATACTTTTTTCTTTCCATCAGGGGGAAAAAAAAGGAGTTTCTCAGGGATGAAGTTTTCAAAGTGTCTCTGTGAGTTTATGATTGCTGTTTGGGTGTCAGAGAAGGCTTTGTGCTCTCTCTTAGTTATTTGAAAATTGCCACTTTTGATTTCTCTACTGCACAAAAATGTAGGTCCTCACTGTGCACTTAATGCACCTTTGTAGCTTAAAAGCACAAGCACATGGCAACCGTATTTTGGAAGAGACTTGTAAAAAGGACTGTAAAGGTAAGGTCCAGGAGGAAAGATGAATCATAGATGGTTTAGGTTGGAAAGGACCTTGAAGATCATCCCGTTCCCACCCCCTGCCCTGGGCAGGGACACCTCCCACCAGCCCAGGTTGCTCCAAGCCCCGTCCAACCTGGCCTTGAACACCTCCAGGGATGGGGCAGCCACAGCTTCTCGGGGCAACCTGCCCCAGGGGCTCACCACCCGCACAGGGAAGAATTTCTTCCTCATATCTCACCTAAATCTCCCCTCTTCCAGTTTGAAGCCATTCCCCCTCGTCCCATCACCCCATGCCCTTGTCAAAAGTCCCTCCCCAGCTCTCCTGTATCCCCTTTAGGGACTGGAAGGCCGCAATAAGGTCTCCCCAGAGCCTTCTCTTCTCCAGGCCTCTCAAACCAGGACAGTGTGAACCTTTAATGATTTTGACAGATTTGGCAAGATTTGCCTTTCTTGGACCTTGGATCTGACCATGTGCAAATGTTGACAAACCTGTGGGAAGAGAGGCTGTGTAGATCAAGAATGTCATATTTCTTTTTATATCAATGAATAGTAAAAGCACGTGAGGCCTGCCAGTCTGGGGTCCACGGGAACAGTAACGGTTGGAAAAGAGCAGTTGCTGCAGTTCCCGCGTGCCCTTCAGCGCTGCCCGTTACTGGGTGAGGGACATGGTCTTCAGCCTCCGCTTCTTCCAGTCATGGAAAATTCGGATGTCAAAACCTAAGGTAAGTGTTGCTATGGTTGTGTTTGGCAGAGAAAGCAAAGGGTGATGTTTCCTGCTACGTGTGCCCTGGTGTATGGTGCTGTTCAGTGGGCAGCGGTGTCTAGAAGTTGGGTAAAAGGTTTGTAAAACTTCTACTTTGTGTTGTTGCTGTATATGTCTTGGCTTTCGAAGCTGAGTAGGAAATATTTTAAGCGTTGTCTTATACTTGTTGTTGTAGTGCAGATAGGACAGGGCGCTTAATTGCATTTCGCTTTTTTACTTTGCCCCTTTTTTTAAAGACTCTTCAACTGGTTGGTGAACGAGTCGTCTTCAAAACACCCACGAAATGCGAAAACAAGCACATTTTTGGGAGACGTGTATTGCGAGGCCCATTTGAAAGACAAGATTGTGAGGACCCAGACAGCTTACCCAGCCGAGCGTGCAATGCAATAACAGCTCTGGCAATCAAATGCTGGCTTTTCCATGTGCGAGCCACCGGGCCACCTTCTGCTTCCTGCTCTGCTTGGCATTCTCATCGAGGGATTTATTTTGCGGGATGGGTAAGTATAGCAAGGTTTCCTCCATCGTGTGTTTTAAATGATTTTAAATTATTAAGCGTATAAGCACTTATGGAGTTCCTGTAGCTGGTGAGAGCTGTGCAGGGAGATACAATCTGGCACTTCAGTCACTTTGTTTTGTCAGTTGGTCACGTAGAATTTTCAAATCTCGACATCGCTTATAGTTTAGGCAATTATGGATAAAGATAGAACAAAATGGTGTCTCTGCCTCCGTTTAAATCAGTCTGCTGGGTTAATAAAAACGGCATCCAAGGCTAGAAGTAACAGCGCGTACAGACTGACAAATTACATCTTCATCTGCCTACTCTAATTGTCCTCTCGTCGAGTTAATGTGTTGTGTAGCTCTGGCTAGAAGAATTCGTATCCTAAGAGAATGTTGAAGTCAGGACTTCTAGGCAAAATAAAGGAACATTAATTACTCAAAATTGCTTAAAGCTGGAACTGTGCCTCTAATGGAAGTACTAATTACTCAAAATTTGACAATGTAGAAAGTTCCCTTTAATTTGGCCGATCCTTGCTGTGGAGGGTTCTCCGCTGTCTGCCCACAACTTTCATTTGTTATCGCCGTTGTAAAATTATGGAGTAAATGAATTCTTTGTTCTTATTTCGAAGGGGTATATCGTAGCTGTTGAATGTGTAATTTATTTCCTTATTTCCTCTCACTGGAGAATAGCTGTGCTCTGTTTCTGTTGCTTTTAAAGCAAGGTGACTCTTGACTCACCTCTCATCTTCCAATAGCTTAGAAATGCACTTCTTCGGTTTGAGCTTGGTTTATTTGTTTGGGGTTTTGTTTGTTTGTTTGTTTGTTTGTTTTGGTTTTTTACTTTTGCCACTAAGGCAAAATATCGAATGTTAAAACCTACTCGCATTTCTGCAAAGCAGAGCCAGAAAAAAACGATCATGAAAGAGATTTAAGTTGCAAAGTCAAGCACTCAGGAAATTAGAAAACATAAGAATGGAAATTGTCTGTGTAATTTCAATTTTACTCCTTCACGCAAATGTGGTATGATGCAACCTCTAATTATGTCGTCAGCGCTGTCTTTTCCATTGTGTGTAACTTGCAGTGCTGCTGCTATTCGCATTTTGAAAAGTTCGGGCTGCGAAGTAGTAGCTCTGCTGTGCGGATGTGATCCCGCCCAGAAGCAGTAAGTAGGAACTTTCCTATTCATTTGGTGCAGGAACCAGTCATAGGTGTTTCATCCCAAATGTTCCCTTTAAAACATGTTTTAATATTCTGATTCATTTACAGTCAAAATACTGAATTGATGTTACTTAATTTAAATCCAGTTTTGTTGACATAAAACTTTCCAGTGGCTTATTCTGGGTCAGCCTTTGGTTTCCTTTTATGTCTTCCTTTCTGTACAGCTGAATGAGCCGGTTATTTCTGTCCCTGCAAATAGGAATATTAGTTGTTTACAGTGATTCCAGTCATACAAGGACACAATTAAATGTCCTTGCCTTGCAGGACAAGCTCATTTTAGCAGTGATTTATAATTACGTTCTATTTTAAATCTTCATAAGAACATACACGGTCAACAACTTAATATGGTCAAAAATAATTATTTTTTTTAAATATGGGGTTTTTTTCCTGACAAGGAACGGGGAATGCCAAACTAAATAAAACTAATGAGTAAATGGTGGGGGAAGGGGAAAGCAAAACAGTGGTTTATCTTTCTTTGTCAAAACAAAGCTGAATAAGAAGCTTGTGCTCCTAAGAAAGTTTGGCTGCTGTTAGAGACACAGGGGGAGGGCCCTTCGGTTAAAAACAGAAGAACAGTCATACAGTTGCTCTTACTGATTTCCCCCCCCATGCAGAAAATTTTTGGCATTCCCCAACAAAACCCACGAAA